GGAGTTTTTCCTTGCCACTGTCGCCTATGGCTTACTCACTGGGGGCTTTGGGTGGGGATTCTGTAAAGCGCTGATGATGTAATGTTGTGATAATGCGCTATACAAAAATAAATTTGTTTGTTGTTGTTGTTTGTTATTTCCACATTGTACTGGGAGTGACATGCAAGGCTGTGATACAGCAAAGGGCAGAGCATCCTGCTACGAATGACTCATGCAACTTCTTATTTTTAATCTGGCCTATTTTTTTCGAGGTGCATCTTCTCCCCTCACACAGACCTCTACAGGAAGGTATGCAGGCACACAGCCAGATATCTTAGAGGGAACTGTGAGCTACTTCTGAAATATTCAGTCAGAATATTTTTCCTGCCTTGGTTTCAAGTTTTCATTCTGAGAATCATAAGCTATAACCAGAACAGAATTTATATAAATATATAATGCTGTGCATGCAAGATGACCAAAGAATATTACAGAACTAGAAGCCTTTTGCAAGGAAGAATGGGAGAAAATCCCAAGTACAAGAATTGAAAGACTTTTAGCTGGCTATAAAAAGCGTTTGCAAGCTGTGATATCTGCCAGAGGAGGTGTTACTAAGCACTGATTACAGTATGTAGGGAACCCAAACTTTTGCAGAGTGCCATAATAATGTTTTTATTTTTTTATCTTTGTTCAATTTATGACATAAAAAGTAACTATGCATCAATGTTTTGTGAAAATATTGTGCATTTTTTCCATTTCCTACAGAGACTGTGTTTACATCTTTTCCATAAAAAAATTACCAAAATATGTAATTTATCAAGGGGTGCCCAAACTTTTGCATACTACTGTACATGGCTGTAATACACATATAAATAATTCTTTCCTATTGCGTGGGAGCTGCAAAGCCCCAGAACGCAGTACACCGCACTGGGCAGTGAGGACAGTCAAGGACTGCATTGAGATCTTCTGCCAATCATCCAAGGAATCTTCGTATTCTCAGCGGTCCTCTTCACTCCTCCCATGGCCTCTTCAACCCTTAAGATTCTGCTATCATTCCTCATTTATTACCTCTCATTCTTCACTGTAAGCTGTTTACAGTAGATTTATAAACTAAGAATGTACAATCAAACTCACTGCACAGTGTTAGTCGAAAGTTGCACTATGTACAGCATATTCATTTATTCATTATTGTCATGTGTGCCTAACTTGTCGTATTTGATATAAAGCTGTTTTGTTTCACTATATGCCTGCATGTTTTTAAATCATGTGAAAGTTTGACGAATAAATTACACAAAGCTCTCAGCAGAGTAAATATTGTATCTGCTGTGAATATATACTGTAGCTGACAAAAGGTACAGAAAGTCTCATGTGCTTGCTTTAAGACTGCAGTGAGAAAGCAGTTTCTCAGTGGTTCTGCACAAGGCTGTAGACTGGGTTCTGTTCCGTGATGGCAGCAGAGGACAGGTCACCGATACTGGCATAGTGGTGATCTTCCTGATGGATAGAGGGGAAAGAAAAGACCTCAAGTTTATAGTGTTTAAACTCATTGAAATCGGTAAACATTCCGGTAAGGTCTGGGTCTTGAAATCAGCCATCAGCGTTGCCTACCTGTGACTTTGCTGTATTGCCCCCACTTCCTACCAAGTCTGTAATATAAAAAAATACAATGATCAATGTAAAGCGTAGGCCAGCTCACTTACTCGCATAGTTTGGTTACCAACATTTATGATCCAAACTTATATATAATACAAAGTACATAGTTATTAAGTTTGAATATGACACAATAAAGAAAATAAACAAAAATGATCAGCCAGGTGCAGTGGTTAGCACTGTTGCCTCACACTTCTGGGACCTGGGTTCAAGTCTCTCCACAGTCCAAAGACAGGCTAATTGGAGAAACTAAATTGCCCATAGGTGTGCAAGTGTGAGTGTGCCCTGTGACGGGCTTGCCCCCCCATCCTGGGTTGTTCCCCACCTCATGCCTGTTGCTTCTGAGATCTCTGAGTTCTGGACCCCCCCCGTCACCCAAAAAGGATAAGTGCTTTGGTGGATGGATGGATCATACAACTCGTTACAACTGCCTTTACTTACTAGCATTCTGAGAATTAACACTCAGTTTTGTGAGAGATGATAAAGATGTGACTTTTTAAATACCGTAAGTTGGTGGTTTACCGCTTGAAGGATGATCTGCCACAATGGAGTAGATGATTTGCTCTTTCCCAGCCTAGAATGGAGAAGATGTAAGACACAAGCCAATTCAATTTTATTTGTTTAATAGCACATTTTCACAACATTACATTGTCTCAAAA